TCTTTCTTTCTTTCTTTCTTTCTTTCTTTCTTTCTTTCTTTCTTTCTAGGATTGCACCCGAAATAAACAAGGTAAAGCACAGCTCCAAGAAAGCTTGCTAGAGCAAGTATATTTTGGCCACAAAAAAATTCTCAATTTCTGGTGCTGACAAGTCTGTATTGGTAGGGCCTTGTGATACTAAAGGCCCCACTTCAAGCCATCATGACCGTTTCCGTTACAGCAGGGAACCCAGAGCCCATTCAGTTAGTTTGCATATCTAAAGGAAGGACCTGGGAATACTTTGCATCAATGCCTTCTCCTCAACAGGTTATTGAGGTGAAATGTTTTAAAAGTCAGCACACCACCCTCCCACCCCTTACAGCCATTTCACTGTTCCAGGGAGAGCTCTACAAATCTTCTTGGCAAAAGTGGCTACAGGAACATTTTTCTTCACAACATGTTCTTTCTTTTTTAAAAAGGAGTGTACCTAACCCAAATAAAAAGCCAGGACTTCATCTTAAGCACAGCCGGGCTTAAATAATTTGTGAAACATTAAGTCTCTTAGTAGGATGCAATGCCTGAAGTTTCTTGAGAAATTTGAGGTGCATTTTCGATTAATGCTACTACTGGATCAACCTCTTGCAAATTGTTTATTACTGAACAATAATTTTGCTGGAAATATGCAGAATCATATTTAGATTACCTTCGATCAAAAACCTGAATCATCTAGTTACTTTGTGAGCTGAATTCCACTGGCATAACTTTATTCTCTGTGTTTATCATACGTTTCGCGTCCACAGCATCCTGCATGTTTGCTGAAACAGCCCGTATTCTCGGAATCATTACAACATATTCCTGTTTTAAGTGGTTTTGAAGGGCATGCTGTCATTTTCCCCTCCCTTTTAATGCTGTCATCTCCATTGTCCAGAACATAATTATACTTACTTACCAATTATTATGTCAGACTAGTTCTACAATATGCAATTCAACAGGAAGCTGTTTCCACACTATGGCATTAAAACAGATTCCTAATAAAGTAAGTGAAGTTACTCTGTGAGTTGATATTAGCATGATGCAAATGTTTTTAAAGCACCTGATACTAGCCATTTGATGCCACAATGGTGTATCCTATCTGATACTTTTTCCTGATAGATTTCAAAATTTCCAAGTAAGTGCATGTGAGGAACTCTTAATATTGAACTGGAAATCTCTGGATTTAGGATCTTCCAGTTTGTCCCCACCCTGTCCTGTCCTAACTGCCTTAAAGAAGACTGCGGTATGACTGCTTCAGAAAAAAAAAGCTGCCTTGGAACCCTAAGTTTTAATAGTTTTGAAGTGATATTTTTAACAATTAACAACCAGTGGGAAAATCTCACTTCCTGAGCAAGGTGTTTCAGTGGGAGGTTGTTCATCTGGTCCAGGTATTATTAGGTGAGCTGGATTTTCTAGATCTGTTTCAACAGCACTTCAGATCTGGTTTAGCACAGAAATTATCTTGGACACCTACAGGATGACTTGTGACAGGTCAAATGCAGGAAGAGTCTGACCTCGTTGACTTCTCAGCACCTTTTGTTACTACTGACACTAGTTCCTTTCAGATAGGCAGCCTGGGATGGGATTGAGCTCAATATCCTATATTATATTCCGTAATATTCTGTGCTTCCTTGGATGGTCAGTTCCAGCATATAGTAGTGGGGAATTCTGCTTGACAATGCGGTAATTGTGCCTACGCACCAACACTCTCTATGGGAAACCAATGACTGAGGTCATCTGTAAAGTGCCAGCAACATATGGGTAACACTAGCATTATTCTGGATTCTCATCAAACTCAGATGAGATAGGTAGGCTTCTCAATTAAAGTCTGAGTGGAGTAATTGACTGGACTTCAACCTTAAGCATGCTAAGCTTAAATAACATGTGAAGCCTCTTAGCACATAAATTTCAACTCAATCTAGACAAGATGAGATACTGTCAGTAAACAGTTTAGACACACAGGTTTTGGCTGGTATGCCAATTATGACCCTACCTTGACAGGAATGATCTGGCTTCACTCATCCATGTTCTGGTATGCTCCCATTTAGCCTATGGCATAGCTTAGCAGATAGGACTGCCTTTCAAGATGGTTTCAGAAACTTGTTAATTCAGAACAGAGGTCCAAAGCTGGGGGCTTGGTAGTATGAGCTTCTCATTCCCCAGAGGCTTCTGCCACTTGACATATGATGTGTGGCTATGGGGGAAAGGACCTTTTCAGTCGTGGCATTCTGGCTATGGAATGCACTCCCCAGAAAGACTTGCCTGGCTCCTACCTTGATGTCATTGTACAGCACAGCAGATACCTTTTAAATTTCATAGAGATTTTACCCTGCTTTTGCTTGAACATTCCATTTTCCTTGCTTTGTTTTTATGATATTTTTATATGTTGCATTGATTTTGCATAAATGTGTTTTTTAAATCTTTGCTATAAACTGAATGGCTGGCTACAGGCAGCATATACATTTTCCAAATCGCCATAACTTATACTGCAGTTCCTTTGTTGCTTTCTCCCTATCTACAAAGTTGCGATCCAATGCTTATCAATACAAAAAATGGAATGGCATCTTAAAAAGAGCATTTATAATATACAAATGACAAAATAAAGCTATCTTTCCAACAACCCAAAGCTATCCTTTAAATTATTAAAATACATATTTAAAAATTAATACTAAAATTCAAAATAATTGCTGTAGCATCTTCTTTGCATTTCCTGTAGTTCTTTACTTCCTCCCATCCCTGTTCACATTAATAAATTAAATTGCTATAAAATGCTTTAAGGTATTTAAATCTATCCAAATAATTTATTTAAACAAAGATAAACTAAATATGATCAAAACGAGCATTCTCTTAATTTTAAGTTACATGAAGCTGTACTTTAGGTCCTCATCCAGCAGAATCTGGAAGACACATCTCAAGTTTCTTTTTATGTGTTCAAACTAAGCCTGGTAGTGCCTGATATTACTAGAATCTGACAGCAGTTTGGTGGTTTATGTAAAATTATTTTGTGGTCTCAGTAAGGTTGCAAGTGGGCAAGTGGATTTCACTCCAAAACCACTAGCAAAAGTTAGCTGTGTCTGAGACAATAGCTCGAAGCGTAACTCGGAAGAGGAGCTGGTTTCCAAATTTCCCCAAAACAACTTTTTCTGCATGGCCACACTTAATAATCAGTGAGGTAAACTTGAGGCTGACCAGGCAGTATTTTGCAGTCCAGGCTCCCTTCTAAAAAATCCCAAATGGTGTAACAAGTTAATCCATATTTTGGACACAGAATGAACAACACTGATAATGTACTTTGCATGAATGTGGGATGGGGGGGAGTGTACACAAGAGGAAAGGTAGGAATAAAGAGACAAAAAACATGAGCCATTGTAAAACAAAGAACATTTAGGTGATGCCTGAAAATATTTTTAACACAATTCTTCTTTAAACATACTATAAGACTTTATGTTTCAACTAGCTGTTCCTCAGGGCTTCCTCAGTTTGCTACCAGGACAGATAGGGCACAATACTGCATATGCTCAGTCAGGAAAAAGTCCTACAACTTGCAGCATTTCCCATGTTGACTAGGAATTGTACCCTGAGTTTCTTTTCTTTCTCCCAACCTTCACAACAAGTTCAGAGGTACAGGAGCATAGTATGGAGGCAGAAATCTTCTTTGTTCCAGGGCAGAGTCTAGTGCAGACCTTTTCAACCCAGCACCCTCCAGATGTTTTAGACTATAACCCCCATCATTCATGGCCACTGGAAATGCTGCCTGGGATGCTGGGAGTTGTAGTCTAAAACACACGGAGAGTACCAGATTGGGGAAAACTAGTCTGGTGATTTAGAACAGCAGGGAAAGCTGGGAAGAAGAGCCGATTTCTAATAACAATTAGATTACCAGACCTTATGATCTGGCTGCCCAAGCAATTCTATTAATCTATCTTATATATACATATACATATATATAAGCTTTTGTATGCTGTCCATTATGCATGGCATCTCAGGACGGCTTACAATCATTAAAATACAAATTATAAATTTATTTTAAACTATAATACAAATCCATGAATACATATTCCCATGTTATATTGATCTAACGTTAGCCACTATACTAAAACCATTTCCCTTGGCTTTAACTTGTTTTCCTTGGGTTAGCCTTTCTTAGTCTATCTCCATTTTGTCAATTCTTTTAATCCCACTTTGTTTCACACTGCATTTTGACCAGTGATTTCACCTGTTTTAATTTGGTGCCAGCCACATTTATAATACTTTTATAATTGGAATGTGTATAGGGACTTACCTTTAAGTACTCCCATATAGGAAACTGTACAAGAGAGAAAGGAATCTGGTGTTGGGAAGAGAAAAAGAAGAAAAAAACCATAAGCAAAATGATGATTTTATATCATTTATTTATTTGATTTATACCCCACCTTTTTTCTTATAACAAACCCAAAGCAGCTTACACCATTCCCCTCCTGCTGCTCTCAGTCTTATCGCCACAACAACCCTTTGAGTTAGGTTGGGCAGAGAGTCTGGCCCAAAATCACCAAGTTGGCTTCATGGCCACCTGGGGACTAGAACCCAGTTCGCCTGAGTTCCAGTCCTGTGCTCTTAACCACTACATCATACTGACTCTCATATCAGTTGGTTTACTAAATTAGGAAATGTTATTGTTCATCTGGGGAACTGTAGCTTATTAAAATTATAAATATTGAAGGAACATATCATGCACAAGGCTTTGAGATGGCTGGTTTTTCTACAGAGCCTTTGACTTCATTTAGTATAATTCCCTGCTGAGAGGTTAATGAGTTGTAGCCAGGGTGGGCTCTAAGAACACTAACTGGCAGTGCTAAGTATGGTGACTTTTAAAGTTTGATTTAAAATCTGGAAAAATAATACAGAGGATAGTTTATAAGCTAGGCACAGAAACCCAGCCTGCCAAGGAACTGCTAGGTCAGCCATCACAAAGATTTGTGTTTAATTGAAGGCTTAGACACTTCATAAGCGAATGCATATTTATAATATTTGGTTGTCCACAAGTCAATCCTGACAAATGAACATGGAGCAGATCCTTGGAGTTATTAACCTCTTGAGAACCCAGGTTGCCACTGCTTGAAAATATATTTCTGGAGGCTAGCTATCCACCTTTTTTACACTGGTCATCTACATCTAAATACCCAGTTCAGTCACTGACTCCTTTTTAACCCTCTGAGTTCAAAGACAAAAAGGTTCCAATTAAGACTTCCATTCATATATTCACAAGTCTCAGGGGTTTCTCTGGTGGTGGTAGAAGCTCTGAAAAGGTTCTAATGACCAGTCTTTTCTGTCACATGCTGGCTTCCTGCAGCCACTTCATGACAGAGGTCCAGTTTTGTGAGTGTCTATAGCACATGCCCTGCTATTCATTACTCCTGCCAGTTCTACAGCCTCTTCTCCATAGCCAGTTTCAAAATTCAAATGTCCTCTAAAAATGCATAAAGGCAGCTTAATGCACATGGAATCCATTCACAGGACCATGAACCACCATTTTGTTGTGTGGAAAATTGACTGCATAAATTCACTGTAAAGCCACTGAGACTGTGATAGGATATCTATCTGGTTTACTTGTTCTTTGGGTTTTTACCCTCTGGGTCTCTGCTGCAAAGTAAGAACTCACTGACTGAAGATATTAGACTGCTGACAACTATCGCCCATGAATCTTTCTTCCCAAGAAGGCATACATCAGAAGAAACCACAAGTTGAGGAAATATATTGGTGAAACTTTCTGGGTTTATTTCAGTATTAATCCTTATAAGCAGCATTATATTTGCCAGTTCCATTGGCTGTAATTCACAGATATACACAAAGGTATTTTTGCTTATACCTCTCTTGAGTCAACAGGGCTTAAGTATGCCGTAACTGTATGCTGGACTGTAGCCATTGTTATGATAGCATATTCATTATTTTATCATGTTATTTTATCATGTCCGTAAAGTGTTTTGCAAAAACGGTACTTTACAAAGGCACAATAAACTTTAAATGTAAAACATTATTATACCATGACTGTCAACACGACAGGCTTCAGCTCATTCAATTTTACATCACAGACCATAGCTGTCGTATTAAATCTATACAGACATATAATAAGGAAGAGTGAAGCTGAGAGCCAGACATTCATTGTGACATTTGATTTAACGGGATGCTAAAATGCACTCAAGAGCCCTGGCATGAATTGTTTATGCTTTTTTTTAATTATGAAGATGACTAACTTAATACGTACATTTTTAACAAAACAACACAGAAACAGATGTAACCACTTAACATTAACCTAATATATTCACTCAAAAAACCCCACTTGCATCTGGCTATCTGTCCACATCACCATCTGTCTATGTCTCAATTTCAACTTCCAAAAATGGAAACTCAGCCTAACACAATGTGCATTCACTTTTCTTTTGCATGACTGTGAGTTTCTGTCTTAACTACCATGAGGTAAAGAAACTGATCCTTCTGCAACTTACAGTTTCCATACCTCCAGTAACATTGTGGTACATGTGGTACCAAGATTTCTCAAGCATTACTCAAAGAATGACCACAGAATCACTATTTCTGAAAGATTTTCTATTGAAATCTATGAATGAGTGCTCTTGAGGGGGCCCACTAAAATCTATCCCAAAGCTACAGGTAGGAAGAGGACTGGGTCGATTAGCTTCCTTCCCATATGCCTTTGGTAAAAGTTAGGCTTATCGCCCAGTTCTCAGGTCTCTGCCTTGGAGCAAGGGGGCGGGGGCTTACCTTTACCCTTCATCCTTTTCCTTATCTCCACAGGTATACTACAGGAGAGGCTCACAACTCTCCACATTAGACCTGAGTTTTCTGTTGCAATATTCATGCTACATACTTTATGCTGTACAACTTATTCAAGTTACTCCAGTTTCTATTCACACTGTTGTGTTTCTCTGTGTGAGCTACCAAAGAGGCCATGGAGAAGACATATTTTTGGGAAACTGTATATGAGCAGTAATATTGTATCTACTCCATTATTTTTAAAAAGTATTTTACCCCACTTTTCTACTGAAAAGGCTTTTAAGAATAGCTTACATGAGATCAACAACAAATAAGACAGTCCCTGGCTTCAGGCTTATAACTGAAAAGATACAACACAAAAGGAAAGGGGGATGAGGAAGGAAGTGTAAAAGAAGCAAGCACCAATTCTTAAACTTGCAGAGCTGTTCTTTAAAATGATCAGCTGGACTAGAAGCAGTTCAGAGTGAATAGGCCATCCAGTGGCCCTATTCGCATCTCCCCTTCTGCTAAAGCCAGATGGAATGGCTGCTGCCAGGATGAAGATATTTTTGTTTCTCACTGCTTTTTATTCTGTTCTGAGTAGCCCACCAAATGTACAATTCTCTCAAATAGGTGCACAAGGGACAGTATATCTATTAAGCTGTGAAACAGTTTTATATGTGCAGATGGAAGCCCAATATGAAAAAGCTCTTGTATTAGATTAATATATACTGTTTTCTACTGTAAAATGTCTGCATCTCTGTGCATCAACCTTCCCCGAACTGAAGCGCACCAGAGGAGCTGGACTGTAGCTCCTATTATCCCCAGTTAGGATACCCACTACCATGCAGCCGGGGGTTATGGAAACTACGGTCCAATAAATCTAGAAGTGCCTAGTTTGGGGAAATTGCGCTAAATCTTCTCCTGTGTTTTTCCACATCACAAGAGTTAAAGATTATGTTCATCATGGTGCAGGTAATGATTAATAAATGAGCCCAGACCATTCCTCTGCCAGGCAAAACTAAACTTGACAGACACCTGCCATGGGAAATTTGTTATCTAGTCAGGCAGGAAGTGGGATTGAGAAGAAATCAATGCCACTGCTGTACATTGAGCTGACAAACTGAAATCTCATACGAAGCCTGTCGTTGCAAACAAGGAAGAATTTCCCTTGTGGCTTCTCAAAGCCCCACAGTAGAGGTCAAACATTATTCTTATTTATCAGGGCCATGAAACTCAAGTGCCATGATTAAATTTCTTCCTGCCCCCAACTTGAGGTGTCAAAGCCCTGTTCATTTTCTAGCAAAAGGCAAAAGACATTTACAAGGAGATAAAGACTTGTAAAGGGAAGGATGCCTTATTCTTGAGCAGGAATTAACTGGCCCATTCCTTTGCCTGACAGAACCAAAAGGAACACCCCTTATATTATTATACCAGGGTGCCTGTACTAAACACCATCATCATCAACCATTCAGTCATGTCCGATCCTTGGCCACCATACAAATGCAAAATTCAGCAGCCTGAGAAAATCCTTGCTTCCAGTTGCTTTCAAGTGCAAACCCTTGTGGCTGGTGATACAGGCTCAATCACACATGGGCAATGAATACAGAAGGCAAGGCAGAGTTTCAAAGGGTAAAGAAATATGGCATCCATGTCCTGCATAGCTCCTTAAACTTCTCCAGAGCAAAAAGAACTGGGACATGTGATGCAAATTGATGATACTTGGCAACTCACTTGGTAGCCATAGGCTAACAAAGATAACAAGGAATAACATAAACTAATAAGAAATTTCATGCAGGAAAGTCAGTGGACAGAATGCTGTATTCTTCCTCTTCCAGTCTCGGGTCCCTCCCACTGTGGACAGCAGAGAAAAGCAGTGCGCTGGCAGAAGGCAGAACCCTCCATCCCTCTTCCAGCTCTCTGCTTGGCAGAAGGATTTTGTAAAAAATCATAACCTTTCTTTCTGTGTGCCCCCTCCTCACAGTCAGCATGGAAACACAGACTATAAGCCTCTTGGTTGACTAGTAAAATGGTTTTATAAACTAATAACCTCTATGGCATATTTACAAGGCATATCTCTAACAACTGTCTACTACTGTTCTTGGGATACCAAATGGGTTAACAACTTGGCACAAGCATGGAAGTGTTTACTCTAGCATCTCCCACCCTCGCCTGTGGTAATCATAAAGACAACATGAAGGATCTTGACAGGAAGCACTCCTTGCAATCTCAGGCACAGGACTGGATCGGTTATTAGCGCCACCAGGATTTAAAGCCTTATATATGCACAGCAGGTATTGTAATGCTGAAATTATTGCCTCTTCCCTAGATTGTGCTCAAATGTGATATGTGATGGCCAGCCATAGTTGACAAACATATTAAAATAGCAAACATACAATACAGGTCCAGATGTAAGATGCAGCGGTGTTGCCAGTTGCTACGGAAGTTGAAGACCATTAGTATTTTAGTGAGTGGATAAACTGCATGGTGGTTACCTATGAATTCTGCAATTATCTTGCCAGGATGAGCTTGGAATTTTCCAACAAACACACTGATCTCACAATGGTCTGGAACTCTCCA